CCCTCACATCGCTTTGCCTTGCGCCAAGAAATTCGGCCTCCATATCTGACACCCTGTCAGCCACTGTATTGACGAGTGCCTCGGCCTCCAGATCACACAGTCCGTTACCAAGTGTCTGGTCCTCCAGCTCTGCGAGCGTGTTAGCCAGCGTGTCCAACACTGCCTTGGCATACAAATTGCCCACTGTTTTGGTTTCGAGATCTCCCGGTGTGTTTCCAAGTGTCTCAACCTCTACCTCTGCTACTATGTCAGCAAGAGTGCCGACCAGTTTCTCTGCCTCTACATCGCTTAGTACTTGACAAGTATGCCGGCCTCTACCTCCACTTCCCTAAAATCTCCAGTGTCGAAAAGTGTCTTGTCCTCGACATCTGGTAAAGTGTCAGCCAGCGTGTCCACCACTGTGTTGGAAAATGTTTCTTTTGTCAGACATTGTCTAGACTCAGCCATCGCCCACTGTGTACAATACACTAGTTTCTACATCTAATAGCCTCTCTGCTAGCCTCTTGACTTGTGTCTAGGCCTCGTCATTACCCAGTGTGTCGTCAAGTGTCGAGAATTATTTTGTTTCCGGCATCCAAAGTTGTCCCCAAATGTCTCGGAGTGCACCTCGGCGGGGTATTCTGCCATGTCGACCACTGCTGTAGCCTAAACATTGACTGTATTTTTTCCAAGTAATTTTACCTCCACCTGTGCTATTCTGTCAGCCACCTGTGCTATTCTTTAAGCGTGGACCAATTTCTTGTTCAGTTCTTGTTCAGTTTAGTGTGCGAAAAGTGTCTTGGTGTCTATCCCTTCTAGCATGTTAGCCAGTATTTCTACCAGCTGTATGTTGCCAAGTCTCTTAGCCTCGACCTCTGCTTGCTCGTCATAGAGCATCTTCACGAGTGCCTCGGCCTCCACATCGCCCATTGTGTCGCATAGTGTCTTCTTCTTTACAACTGCTAGCGTCTCATCTTGCACGTTAGCAAGCACCTTGGTGTTTTCATCGACCAGTGTGTCTTTAAGTTTGTCGGCCTCCACCCAAGCTACCGTTTAAGCCAGCTTGTCGACCACTGCCTTTTCTTCCACTTTGTTAGGTGTGTTGCCAAGCGTCTTGTCCTCCACCTCTTCTATCGTGTTAAACAGCGTTTGGCCTTCACATTGCGCACTCTGTTGCCGTGAGTCTTGTCCTCCACCGCCCAGTGTGGCCAAGTGTCTTGTCTGTTACTTTTGCTAGCGTCTCATCCGGCCTTTGGACGGGTGCCTCATTCATTACATTGTCATGTGTGTCGCCAAAAGTCTCAGTCGTCACCTCTGCCAACCTCTAAGCCAGAGTGTTGACTGAAGATCTGGTACGCAGATCGCGCAATGTGTTACCAAGTGTCTCCAACTCTACACGACGTCCCGTGCCTTGGCTTTCGTATCGCTTACTTTGTCGCCAAGCGTTGTTCTCTACACTTCTAATAGCCTGTCAGCAATTGTGCGGAGCAATGCGTAAAACTCAACGTCGCATAGTGTGTTGCCAATATTCCGGACCTCCTGCTCTGCTAACATTTAAGCTAGCATGTTCAGGATTTACTCGGCCTTTTCATTGCTTAGTGTATTGCTAACGGTCTCGACCTTCACTACTTCTATTGCTTTAACCAGCGTTTTCAATACCGCCTTTGCCCTGTCTTCGCCGATTGAGTCGCCAACTGTCTTGGACTCCTCATCTGCAGATCTGCAGTCGTGTTAGCCGGCGTGTAAGGCAACATGTTAATCAGTGCCTCCACATCTCACAATGTGTCGCTAAGTGTATTAGCCTCCATCTTGGCTTGCGTGGCTTCAACCTTCTGCATTAGTGCCTTGGCCTGCACATCGAAAGTGTCTCTCTAAGTGTCTCGAGCTTCAGCCCAGCTACCCCGTTAGCCAGCGAATCGACAAGTACCTCGGCCTACACATCTTTCCGTGTGTCACCAAGTGTGTCAGAGCCAAAACCATTAGTCTTTTAACCAGCCTGTAGACAACTGTCTTTAAATTGCCAGTGTGTCGCAAACTATTTCGGGATTAACACCTGTTAGCGAGGCAGCCAGCGTAAAGACCACTATCTCGTGCTCCACATCATTTAGAGTTTCATTAACATTTTTCGTTTCCACCCTTTATTGCGTAGGAGCTAATGTGTAAAACAGTGCCTCGGCCTCTACATTGCCATTTGTTTGACCAAGTTTCTCGTTCCCAACGTGGGCTTGTGCGACAGCCAGCATGGTGACCAACTGTGTCGTCCTCCAGCTTTGCTAGCACGTCAGCTACAGTGTCGCCCTAACCAAGTTTGTCGCAAAGTTTCTCGGACTTTAGCCCGTCTAGCCTTTCAGCGGGTTATCGACCATTGTATAGGCCTTCTCATCGCTTAGTATATTGCAACGGTTTCCGCAACAACCTTTCCAAGTGTGACAGCGAGCTTGTATTTTTCTGTCTAGTCCGCCGCAACGCCTATTGTGTCAGCAAATGTCTCGGCCTCTACGTCGGCTGCAGTGGCAGCCAGCGCGACGGTTAGTGCCTTGGCCTCAGCATCGCCCAGTCTGTCGCCAAGTGTCTTGTCTTCCACATTGTTGTGTGTTAGCCAGATTGTCCAACAAAGCCTCGCAATGCATAAAGCCCAGAGTATGGTTAATCCTCTCTGCCTCCACTTGCAAGCTTGTCATCGTGCATCTCGACCACTGCTCCGGTCTACACATCTCCCGCTGTGTTGCAAAGTTTCTCCACCTCCACCTCTGCTACTGTGTCAGCAAGAAAGTCGATGAGTATCTTGCCCTCCACATCGCTTAGTATGTCCTCAAGTGTCTCGGCCTTTACTTTTGCTACCGTGTAAGCTACCGTGTCGAGTAGTGTCTTGGCCCGCACAAGTGGTAAGGTGTCAGCCATCGAGTCGACCACTGCCTTGCGCTCTAAATAAATGAACTGGCGGGCCGGCCTTCGGCTTTCCAATGGCCCTATGTGTCGCCAGTTGTCTGGTCTCTACATTTAATAGCGTCTAAGCTAGTGTGTTGACTTGTGCCTCGGCCTCTACATTACCCAGTGTGTTGCGAAGTGTTTTGGCCTCCGCCAAAGCTAGTGTGTCAGCCTGCGTGTTAACCCTTACCTCGGTCTCCACATCCTTCATTGTGTCATCAAACGTCTCGGGCTGCAACTCTACTAGCGTCTTCCAGCATGTCAACCACCGCTTTGTTCTCCATATCTCCCGGTTTTTTTTGCAAGTGTAACCACCTCCAACTGTAATACTCTGTGAGCCTAAGTGTCGACCAGTATCTGGGCCAGTACATCGCTTAGTGTGTCGATAAGTGTCTCGCCATCCATGTCTGCTACCGTGTCAGCAAGCATGTCGACCAGCGCCTTGGCCTCCACTTCGACCGGTGTGTCGCCAAGTGCTTTAGCCTCCACTTCTGCTAGCCCGTAAGCGATCATGTTGACAAGTGCCTCCTCCCTCACATCGCCCAGTGTTTTGCCTAATCTCTTTGTCTCAACATCTGCTAAGGTGTCATCCAGTGCGTCAATCACTGCCACGGCCTTGTCATCGACTAGTGTGTTGCCAAGTTTGTTGGCCTGCACCTCTGCTAGCGTGTAAGCTAGCGTTTTGGCTAGTGCCTCGACCTCCACTTCGTCAAGTGTTTCGCCAAGTGATTTTCCTCCACTTCTGCTAGGGTGTTAAAACGCATGGCGACCAGTGCCTCGGCCTCCAAATCTTTCAGTCTGTTGCCATAAGTCTCGTCCTGCACATCTGCTAGTGTGTCAGCCTGCGTCTCGATCTGTTCCTTCGCCTTTACATCACCCACTTTTGCAAAAGACTGTACGTCTTTACTTCTACAACCGTGTCGGCATGCGTGTCAATCTGTGCTTTTCCCTCCACGTCCGCTTAGTGTTTTGCCAATTTGCTTGGCCTGCAGCTTTGCTAGTGGGTCGGCCAACGTATCCAGCAGTGTCTTGGCCATCGTTTTTGCTAGCGTGCTGGCCAGCGAGTCCACCAGTGTTTCGTATTCCATTTCACAGTGTCTCGTTCACTGCCTTGAATTGAACCTTTGCTTGCGTGGTTGCCAGCATCGCCCATTGTGTCACGAAATGTCTTGGCGTCAACTGTTGCTTGCGTGTCAGTCAGCAGGTGGACTAATGCCTTGTCCTACACATTGGCCACAGTGTCACCCAGGGTATCAAAAAGTCCATCACCCTCGACAACACCTAGTAATTCGCTGAGTGTCGTTGCCCCGACCTCTTCTTGCGTATTGGCAAGCGTGTTGACCAAAGCTGCAGCCTCTACATAGACCAGTAGGTAGCCATGTGTCTTGCGCTTCACTCCTTCTGGCGTGGATACTAGCGTGTGGACCACTGCCTCTTGTTCCACATCGCCCTATACGTCACCTAGTGTTTTGCGTCAGCCTCGGCAAACGTGTCAGCCAGGAGAAAGACCAGTGCCACGCCGTCCTCTTTGTCCAGTGGGTCCTCAAGTGTCTTAGCCTCCACCTCTACTATCGTGTGAGCCATTCTCTCTCCACTTCCGCCACGGTGTAAGCCATCGTGTCAACCAGTGAGTAAGCCTCAACTTTTTTAAGTGTTGATAAGTGTCTGAACATCCACTTCTTCTAGGCTGTTAACCAGCGTGTGGTCGAGTGCCTCTGCATCTACATCGCCCAGTCTGTCGCGAGAAGTCTCGGCTTCTACCTTTGCAAGGTTGTCAGCGGGCGTGTTTACCCATGCGTTGGTCTATACATCGCCCAGTGTATCGCAAACACTCTAAGCCTTCACCTTTCCCAGCCTCCTGGCCAGCGTTTCAAGCAATTGGTTTTTTTTTACTTTCGCTCGCGTGTAGGCCACCGTGTCAAACAGTGCTTTGTCCTCCACTTCGCTTAGAGTACTAAAGTCTGAAATGAATTTTCTAATATCAAAGGATTCGTCAGGATATTCTAAAAGAACAATGTCCGAACGGTCTTCTTGCCAAAAATTAGCATTTCCGGGCAAATTGTCTCTGATATCGTAGCCCAGTAATGTTTAGAAAACTCCATACAAGCCCTTTTAAACTTATTGGGGGTCGACCCAAAAAACCTTAAAAGCAGCTGTGTGGATTTTCTGAGCATAACAAGCTAACATCTCCGAGACAATTTGACCCGAAATGCTAATTTTTGGTAAATAGGTTTCTTGCACATTGTTCTTTTAGAATATTCTCAAAAATGCCATAATTTAAGAAATTTTACTTTTATGACATCACTTAAGTACTCTAATGTGTGTCGCCAACTGTCTTAGCTTCAAGCTGCGCTCGTGTGTCAGTTACGTCAACTAGTGTTTCCCAATATTTCTCGTTTTCCGACAATGCTACCGTGTCAGCCACCATGTCAAGCAGTGCCATAGAGTCCACATCGCTTAGAGTGTTGCGAAGTGTCTCACTCACCACTTTTGGAAGCGTCTCAGCCAGTTTTTAGAGCAGTGCGTCCGCTCGCACAGCGCCCAGTGCGTCTGCAAATGTTTCGGCTTTAACTCCTGCTTGCTCTTTGTCTCGGAATCCACAATGCCCAGTGTGTCGTTCTTTCCCTAGCTCTTCACATCGCCGAGAGATTCAAAAGTGTCTTGGCTTTTACCTTTGTTATTGTGGCAGCCGGTGTATGAACTGGTACCCTGCCCTGCACATCCAGCAGCTAACATCTTCGGCCTCCATTTTTGCTAGCGTGTCAGCAGGCGTATCGACTACTGCTTTGGCCTGCATATTGCCCGATGTTTTACTGTGTCTCCTGAACCTCTGTTACCTAGAGTGTCGATCAGCATCTTGACCTCTTTTTCACTTAGTTTGTAGCCAAGTGTCTCGGCAACTATATCTGCTTTGGTGTGTCAGAACTGTCTTAGCTTCCAAATCTGTTAGTTTGTTAGCCAGTGTGTCGACCCTGCCTTGCCCGCAAATCGTCCAGTGTGACACCAAGTCCCTACTTCTACACAGCGCCAAGTGATACACCTCTGCCACCGTGTCATAAAGCGCATCGATCGATGAGTCACCGAGTGTCTTGGCTATTACCTCTGCTGGCGCGTCAGCCAGAGTTTCGACTATAGCTGCGGCCCCTATATTGCCAAATATGTAACAAAATGTGTCGTACTCCACTCCTGCTAGCGTATCGGCCAGCGCGTAGACCAGTGCCTCGGCTTAAAGATCGCTCAGTTGGCCAGAAACTGTCCAGGCTTCGTCATCCGCAAGCCTGTAAGCCAGCATTTCGACCAGTGTGTCGGCAAGTCTTTTGGCCTGTATCAGGTAGCGTGTTGCGTTGGTAGTTTCACAGTGGGTCTACCAGGCGCTTGGCCTTCTTATGGCCTAGTGTGTCATTACGTGTCTCGGGCTCTACTTCTGCTGGCGTCTCAGCCAAGTTGTCGTGTGTCACCAACTGTCTCAGCCTTCTCCTTTAATAGTTTGGAAGCAAGCGTGTCGATCACAGTCTCAGCTTCCACATCTGTTAGTGTAACACCAACTGTCTGCAAGCACAGTGTTTCAAACCAGTGGCTTGGGCTTCACGTCTTTTAATGTGTCGCCAAGTATCTTGCTTTTTATTTTTGCTACAGTAGCAGCCAGCGTTTGCACTACTGACTCGGGCTTCCCCTTTGGACGCGTGTGAGCCAGCGTGTTGACCAGTGTCTCCGACTCCGCAACGCCCATTTTGTTGTTAAGTGTCTCTGTCTCCACCTTTGCCTAGTGTGTCGCCTTGTGCCTCGTCCTTCACATCGCCGACTGTTGTTAAGGTGTCTTTTCTTATAATTCTTTGATGCGTTAGGCAGCTTCTTCACCAATGCTTCCGCCTTTACACTGCCTAGAGTGTCGTCATGTGTCTTGACCTTAACCTCTGCAACCGTGGAACCTAGCGCGTCCAGCAGTGCCTCGGCCTACACATCGCGTAGAGTGTCGGAAAAGCCTTGTCTTCCACTACTGCTAGCTTGACAGGCAGCTTATCGACCAGTGATCTTGACATTACTTGGTATCTCGCCAAGAGTCTTACCTCCCCCTCTTTTAGCCAGTTACCAATAACGTCTTCCAAACCTTTAAATAACCTATTATGTTGTCTAGTGTCTTGGGCTATTGAGCGTGTTCAACAGGGGCTTAATATGCACATCGCCTAGTGTGTCACCTAGTGTGTCGGCCTCCACTTCTAACATTCTCTCAGCGAGCGTGTGGACCAATGACTGGGAATCAACTTGGCTTAGTGTGCCGCCAATTGTCCCGGCCTCTACCAGTACTAAGGTTTCAGCTGGCGTGTTCACTAGAGCCTCTGCTCTTTAGTCTTTTAGGGTCTCACCAACGGTCTCAACCTTCTCTAATTCTATTTCTTCAACCAGCGTTATAAAAAAAGCTTTGCCTATCTCTTTGCCTAGTGTGTCGCCAAATTTCTCGGCCTCCATCACTCCTATCGTGTTAGCCTGCACGTCGACTGAGTGCTGAAAGATCTGGCTAAGGAATCAGGAAGTACCTCGGCCTCAACATCTCCAAGTATGTTACCATCTGTTGTGGCCTTCACCTTAGCAGGACTATGAGGCACGCGTTAGGCAGACCTTTCACTTCCACATCGCTAGTGTGTCTGCAAAAGTGTCGGTCTCCACCACTGCTAACGTGTGACCTAATGGGTTGACGAGTGGTTTTGTCTTTAGATAGCTCAGTGTGTCACAAACTGTCTCAACTTCCACACCTAATAGCCTTTAAGCCAACATGTGACCAGTGCCTCGGTCTCCACATCTTGGCTAGCGTGTCACCTAAACCGAAACCTCTTCTTGCGTGACAGGCAGCGTGCTAACTTGTGCATCGGCCTCCACATCGCTTAGTATTTCGCCAATTGTCTCGGACACCACTACAGCTACTGCGTTTGCCAGCGAGTCGATTAGTGGCTCGGCCTCTACATCACTAAGTGTGTCAGCAAGTGTTTCGGCGCCACACCTATTAGTGTTTAAACCAGCATGTCGACCAGTGCTTGGGCCTTCACATTGCCCAATGTGTCACAAATTGTTTTGGCCTTCACCTATGCTAGGATGTCAGTTAAATTGTCGCCCTGTGCTGTGGCCTGAACATTACCAAATGTGTCTCCAAGTGTTTCGGGCTCCACCCCCGCTAGCGTGCCAGCCAGCGGGTGGACTAGTCGCTTGGCCTCCATATTGCCCACTGTAGCCCTCATATCGCTTAGTCTTGCGCCAAACGTTTCGGCCTCCATATCTGACACCGTGTCAGTCACTGTATTGACCAGTGCCTCGGCCTCCAGATCACACAGTATGTCACCAAGTGTCTCGTCTTCCAGCTCTGCGAGCGTGTTAGCCAGCGTGTACAACACTGCCTCGGCCTACAAATTGCCCACGGTCTCCTCAAGTCTCTCGCCTTGCAAATGTGATCGTGTTATCCTGCTTCCCGACCACTGCTTTGGTTTCCACATCGCCCGGTGTGTTTTCAAGTGTCTCAACCTCCAGCTCTGCTACTGTGTCAGCAAGAGTGTCGACCAGTATCTTTGCCTCTACCTCCGAAAAGTGTCGAAAAGTGTCTTGGCCTCCACATCTGGCAGTGTCAGCCAGCGTGTCAACCAGTGTGTTGCAAACTGTCTGTACTGTTAGACAGTGTCTCGACTTACCCATCGCCCAGTGTGCCGCCAATTCACTAGTTTCTACATCTAATAGCCTCTCAGCTAGCGCCTTGACTTGTGCCTCGGCCACGTCATTACCCAGTGTGTCGTCAAGTGTCGAGAATTATCTCGGCATCCAAAGTTGTCACCAAATGTCTCGGAGTGTACCTCGGCGAGGTGTTCCGGCATGTCGACCACTGCTTCAGCCTTAACATTGACCGGTTTTTTTCCAAGTGTTTGTACCTCCGCGTGTGCTATGCTGTCACCCACCTGCGCTATTCTTTAAGCGTGGACCAGTTTCCTTTTGAGTTCATCGCTTAGTGTGTCACAAGTGTCTTGGTGTCCATCTTTTCCAGCGTGTTAGCCAGTGTTTCTACCAGCTGTGTGTCGCCAAGTCTCTTAGCCTCCACATCTGCTAGCGCGTCATCGAGCATGTTTACTAGTGCACCGGCCTTTAAATCGCCCATTGTGTCGCATAGTGTCGTCTTCTCCACAACTGCTAGCGTCTCATCCAGCACGTCAACCAGTGGCTTAATCTTTTTATCAACAAATGTCTCGGAGTGCACCTAGGCGGGGTGTTCCGGCATGTCGACCACTGCTTTAGCGTTTACATTGACCGGTTTTTTCCAAGTATTTGTACCTCCACCTGTGCTATTCTGTCAGCCACCTGTGCTATTCTTTAAGCGTGGACCAGTTTCTTGTTCAGTTCATCGCTTAGTGTGCGAAAAGTGTCTTGGTGTCCATCCCTTCTAGCGTGTTAGCCAGTGTTTCTACCAGCTGTGTGTTGCGAAGTCTCTTAGCCTCGGCCTCTGCTTGCGCGTCATAGAGCATGTTCACTAGTGCCTCGGCCTCCACATCGCCCATTCTGTCGCATAGTGTCTTCTTCTTTACAACTGCTAGCGTCTCATCTAGCACGTCAACAATCGCCTTGGTGTTTTCATCGACCAGTGTGTCTTTAAGTTTGTCGGCCTCCACCCAAGCTACCGTTTAAGCCAGTGTCTTGACCAGTGCCTTTGCTTCCACTTCGTTAGGTGTGCCGCCAAGTGTCTTGTCCTCCACCTGTTCTATCGTGTTAAACAGCGTGTGAACCAGTACCTTGGCCTGCACATTGCGCACTCTGTTGCCGTGAGTCTTGTTCTCCACCTCTGATAGGCCGTCAGAATGCGTGTTGACAATTGCCTAGGCCTGTACATTACCCAATCAGTCGAAAAGACTCTTAGCCTTCACCTCTGAGAGTGTGTCTGCCAGCATGTCGACCAGTGCTTCTCCCTAAAGTTAGCAGTGTGTCTCGCTAAGTGTCTTGGCCTGCAGCTCTGCTATTGTTTCAGCCAGCGTATCCCCCAGTGCCTTGGCCTTCGATTCTGCTAGGTTGTTGTCATGCGTGTGTACCAATGTGTCAACGTTCACATTACCCACACTGTCGCTAAGTGTATTCGCCTCCACCTCTGTGAGCTTGTCAGCCAGTGTATCGACCAATGCCTCGCCCTGCACATCGCCCAGTGTCAAGTCAAGTCTTTGGCAACAAAACATTTCGACCAGTGACTTGCCCTCCACTTAGCATAGTCTCTCTCGGCTTCCAGCTCTTCTAATATCTCAGCTAGGGTGTCGACCAGTGTCTTGGCCTTCACGTCTGCTAGTGCGTCGGCCAGCGTGTCGACTAGTGAGTCCGCCTTTACATCTAGTAGTGTGTCAAAATTGTCTAGGCCTCTACTTTTCCCACCAGTGTGTAGTCCAGCGCCTCGGATTCCAAATCACCCAGTGTCTCAACAGGTTTCTCCGCCTCCAATTTCTCTAGCGCGTTGGCCAGTGCGACGATCAGCATCTAGGCCTCTACACCGTTCACTGTGTAGCCAACTGTAACAGTTTCCATCTCTGTTAGACTGTTAGCAAGAGTGTCGACCAATCACTGTGCATCCCCCATGGTTAAACCAAATGTCTCGGGCTCCCCGTCGGCTAACATGTCATCTACTGCGACGACCAGTGAACAGGCAATCATAACGCCAAGTTTGTCGCACGCTGTCTTGGAATCCACCCCTCCAAAAATCCTAAATTCAAGATTTTGGCCGATTTCAAGATTTTAGCTTTCCAAAATCCAGAATTCCAGATTTTTGCCGATTTCAAGATTTTAGCTTTCCGAAATCCTAATTTCAAAATTTAGGCCGATTTCAAGATTTAAGATTTCCAAAATCTTGAATTTAAGATTTAAGCCAATTTCTAGATTTTACCTTTCCAAAATCCTGAATTCAAGAATTTAGTCGATTTCAAGATTTTAGCTATCAAAAATCCTGAATTTAAGATTTTACTCGATTTCAAGATTTTCGCTTTCAAAAACCCTGAATTTAAGATTTTACTCGATTTCAAGATTTTCGCTTTTGGAAAAAAAAGAATTCCAGATTTTGGCTCATTTCAAGATATCATCTTTCGAATATCCTAAATTCAAGATTTTGGCCGATTTCAAGATTTTAGGTTTTTAAAATCCTAAATTCAAATTCTTTTTTCCGATTTCAAGATTTTAGCTTTCCAAAATTTTAAAATTAAGAATTTTTCCCATATCAAGATTTCAGCTTTCCAAAATCCTAAATTCAAGATTTTGGCCGATTTCAAGATCTTAACTTTGCAAAATCCTGAATTCAAGATTTTGACCGATTTTAAGATTTTAGCTTTTAAAAATCCTGAATTGAAGATTTTGGCCGATTTCAAGATCCCAGCTTTCCAAAATCGTGAATTCAAGATTTGGACCGATTTCAAGATTTTAGCTTTCCAAAATTTTTAATTCAACATTTTGGCCGATTTAAATTCTGAGCTTTCCAACATCCTCAATTCAAGACTTTGACAGATTTTAAGATCTTAGGTTTGCAAAATCTTAAATTCAAGATTTTAGCTTTCCAAAATTCTTAATTCAAGATTTTGGCCGATTTCAAAATCTGAGCTTTCCAAAATCCTGAATTCCAGAATTTGGCGGATTTCAAGATTTTAGCTTTTAAAAATCCTGAATTCAAGATTTTGGCCGATTTCAAGATCTTAGCTTTCCAAAATGCTGAATTCAAGATTTTGGCGGATTTCAAGATTTTAGCTTTCCAGAATCGTGAATTTTAGATTTTGGCCGATTTAAAGATTTTAGTTTTCCAAAATCCTGAATTCAAGATTTTGGCCGATTTGAAGATTTTAGCTCTCCAAAATCCTGTATTCAAGATTTTGGCCGATTTCAAGATCTTAGCTTTTTAAAATCCTAAATTCAAGATTTTGGCGAATTTCAAGATTTTAGCTTTCCAAAATGCTAAATTCAAGATTTTGACCCATTTCAAGATTTTGGCCGATTTCAAGATTTTACCTATCCAAAATCGTGAATTGAAGATTTGGACCGATTTCAAGATTTTAGCTTTCCAAAATTTTTAATTCAACATTTTGGCCGATTTAAAAATCTGAGCATTCCAAAATCCTGAATTCAAAAGTTTGGCGGATTTTAAGATTTTAGCTTTCCAAATTCCTGAATTAAAGATTTTGACCGATTTCAAGATGTTAGCATACCAAAATGCTGAATTCAAGATTTTGATCGATTTAAAGATTTTAGCTTTCCAAAATATTGAATTCAAGATTTTGGCCGATTTCCAGATCTTAGCTTTCCAAAATCCTAAATTCAAGATTTTCACCGATTTCAAGATTTTAGCTTTCCAAAATCCTGAATTAAAGATTTTGGCCGATTTCAAGATCTCAGGTTTTCAAAATCCTGAATTCAAGATTTTGACCGATTTCAAGATTTTAGCATTACAAAATCCTGAATTGCAAATTTTGGCCGATTTCAAGATGTTAGCTTTCCAAAATCTTGAATTCAAGATTTTCGCCAATGTCAAATTTTAGCTTTCCAAAAGCATGAATTCAAGATTTTAACCGATTTTAAGATCTCAGCTTTCCAAAATCCTGAATTCAAGATTTTGACCGATTTAGAGATTTTCGCTTTCAAAAATCCTCAAATCAAGATTTTGACCCATTTCAAGATTGTAGCTTTCCAAAATCTTGAATTCAAGATTTTGGCCGATTTCAAGATTTTAGCTTTCAAAAATCCTGAATTCAAGATTTTGACCCATTTCATTATTTTAGCTTTCCAAAATCCTGAACTCAAGATTTTGACCGATTTCAAGATTTTACCTTTCCAAAATCCTGAATTCAAGATCTTGGGCAATTTCAAGATCTCAGCTTTCCAAAATGCTGAATTCAAGATTTTGACCGATTTCAAGATCTTAGCATTCCAAAATCTTGAATTCAAGAGTTTGACCGATTTCAAGATTTTAGCTTTCCAAAATCCTGAATTCAAGATTTTGGCGGCTTTCAAGATGTTATCTTTGCAAAATCCTCAATTCAAGATTTTGAGCGATTTTAAGATTTTACCTTTCAAAAATCCTGAATTCAAGATTTTGGCCGATTTCAATATCCCAGATTTCCAAAATCCTAAATAAAAGATTTGGACCTATTTCAAGATCTCGGCATTCCAAAATCTAGAATTCAAGATTTTCACCGATTTTAAGATGTTAGCATTCCAAAATCCTGAATTCAAGAATTTCGCCGATTTCAAGATTTTAGCTCTCCAAAATCCTGAATTCAAGATTTTGTCCGATTTCAAGATTTTGGTCGACTTCAAGATTTTAGCATTCCAAAATCCTGAATTCAAGATTTTGACCGATTTCAAGTTTTTTCCTTTCAAAAATCCTGAATTCAAGATTTTGACCGATTTCAAATTTTTAGCATTCAAAAATCCTCAATTCAAGATTTTGGCCGATTTCAAGATCTTAGCTTTCCAAAATCCTGAATTTAAGTTTTTGACCGATTTCAAGATTTTAGCTTTCCAAAATCCTGAATACAAGATTTTGGCCGATTTCAAGATCTCAGCTTTCCAAAATCCTAAATTCAAGACTTTGACCGATTTCAAAATCTTATCTTTCCAAAATCCTGAATTCAACATTTTGTTCGATTTCAAGATTTTGACCGATTTCAAGATTTTAGCTTTCCAAAATCCTGAATTCAAGATCTTGGCCGATTTCAAAATCTCAGCTTTCGAAAATCCTGAATTCAAGATATTGAACGATTTCAAGATTTTAGCATTCCAAAATCCTGAATTCAAGATTTTGACCGATTTCAAGATTTTAGCATTCCAAAATCCTGAATTTAAGATGTTGACCGATTTCAAGATTTTAGCATTCCAAAATCCTGAAATGAAGATTTCGGCCGATTTCAAGATTTTAGCTTTCGAAAATCCTGAATTCAAGATTTTGACCGATTTCAAGATTTTAGCTTTCTAAAATCCTGAATTCAAGATTTTGGCCGATTTCAAGAGTTTACCTTTCTTAACTCCTGAATTCAAGACTTTGACCGATTTCAAGATTTTAGCATTCCAAAATCCTGAATTCAAGATTTTGACCGATTTCAAGATCTTAGCTTTCCAAAATCCTGAATTCAAGATTTTGTTCGATTTCAAGATTTTGGCCGATTTCAAGTTTTTAGCTTTCCAAAATCCTGAATTCAAGATTTGGGCCGATTTCAAGATCTTAGCTTTCCAAAATCCTCAATTCAAGATTTTGGCGGCCTTCAAGATCTTATCCTTCCAAAATCCTGAATTACAGATTTTGAACAATTTCAAGATCATAGCTTTCCATAATCCTAATTTCAAGATTTTGAACGATTTTAAGATTTTAGCTTTCCAAAATCCTGTATTCAAGATTTTGACCTATTTCAAGATTTTGGCCGATTTCAAGATTTAAGTTTACCAAAATCGTGAATTCAAGATTTTGACCGGTTTCAAGATCTTAGCGTTCCAAAATCCTGAATTCAAGATTTTGGATGATTTCAAGATTTTAGCTTTCCAAAATGCTGAATTAAAGATTTTGGCCGTTTTAGAGATCTTAGCTTTCCAAAATCCTTGATTCAAGATTTTAGCTTTCCAAAATTCTGAATTCAAGATTTTGGATGATTTGAAGATTTTAGCTTTCCAAAATCCTGAATTCAAGATTTTGACCGATTTTAAGAATTTAGCTTTCCAAAATCCTGAATTCAAGATTTTGACTGATTTCAAGATTTTAGTTTTCCAAAATCTTGAATTCTAGATCTTGGCGGATTTCAAGATTTCAGCTTTCCAAAGTCCTCAATTCAAGATTTTTACCGATTTGAAGATTCTAGCTTTCCAAAATCGTGAATTCAAGATTTTGACCGATTTCAAGATTTAAGCTTTCCAAAATCTTGAATTCAAGATTTTACCTTTCCAAAATCCTAAGATCAAGATTTTGAACGATTTTAAGATTTTAGCTTTCCAAAATCCTGAATTCAAGATTCTGACCAATTTCAAGATTTTGGCCGAGTTCAAGATTTTAGCTTTCCAAAAATCGTCAATTCAATAGTTTTGCCGATTTCAAGATCTTAGCTTTGCAAAATCTTGAATTCTAGATTTTGGCCGATTTTAAGATTTTAGCTTTCCAAAATCTTAAATTCAAGATTTTGGCCTATTTCAAGATCTTAGCTTTCCAAGATCGTAAATTTAAGATTTTGACCGATTTCAAGATTCTAGCTTTCCAAAATCCTGAATTCAAGATTTTCACAGATTTCAAGATTTTTGGTGATTTCAAGATGTTAGCTTTCCAAAATCCTGAATTCAAGCTTTTGGCAGTTTTCAAGATTTTAGCTTTCCAAAATTCTGAACTCAAGATTTTGACCGATTTCAAGATTTTAGCTTTCCAAAATCCTGAATTCAAGCTTTTGGCAGATTTCGAGATTTTAGCTTTCCAAAATCCTGAATTTAAGATTTTGGCGGATTTCGAGATTTTAGCTTTCCGAAATCCTGAATTGAAGATTTTGACCGATTACAAGATTTTAGGTTTCCAAAATCCTGAATTCAAGATTTTGACCGATTTTCAGATTTTAGCTTTCCAAAATATTGAATTTAAGATTTTGGTTGATTTCAAGATATTAGCTTACCAAAATCTTGAATTCAAGACTTTGGCCGATATCAAGATTTTAGCTTTCCAAAATCCTGAATTCAAGATTTTTGCCGATTTCAAGATTTTAGCTTTCCAAAATCCTGAATTCAAGATTTTGGCCTATCTCAAGATCTTAGCTTTCCAAAATCCTGAAGTCAGGATTTTGGCCGATTTCAAGATTTTAGCTTTCCAAAATCCTGAATAAAAGATTTTGGCCGATATCAAGATCTCAGCTTTCCAAAATCCTGAACTCAATATTTTTTCCGATTTCAAGATTTTGGCCGACTCCAAGATTTTTGCTCTCCAAAGTCCTGAATTCAAAATTTTAACCGATTTCAATATTTGAGCTTTCCAAAATCCTGAATTCAAGATTTTGGCCGATTTCAACATCTAAGCTTTCCAAAATTCTAAATTTAAGTTTTTGACCGATTTTAAGATTCTAGCTTTCCAAACTCATGAATTCAAGATTTTCACCGATTTCAAGAGTTTTGCCGATTTCAAGATATTAGCTTTCCAAAATCCTGAATTCAAGCTTTTGGTAGATTTCAAGATTTTAGCTTTCCAAAATTCTAAATTCAAGATTTTGGCGGATTTCAGATTTTAGCTTTTCAAAATCCTGAATTCAAGATTTTGGCCGATTTCAAGATTTTAACTTTCCAAAATCCTGAATTCAAGTTTTTGACCGATTTCAAGATTTTAACTTTCCAAAATCCTGAATTGAAGATTTTGACCGATTTCAAGATTTAAGCTTTCCAAAATCTTGAATTCAAGATTTTGGCCGATTTTAAGATATTAGCTTTCCAAAATGGTGAATTCAAGATTTTAGCTTTCCAAAATCTTGAATTCAAGATTTTCACCGATTTCAAGATTTTAGCTTTCCAAGATCCTGAATTCAAGATTCTGACCGATTTCAAGATTTTAGGTTACTAAAATTCTGAATTCAATATTTTGGCCGATTTTAAGACCTTAGCTTTCCAAAATCCTGAATTCAAAATTTTGACCGATTTCAAGATTTTACCTTCCCAAAATCCTGAATTCAAGATTTTTTTCGATTTCAAGATTTTGAACGATTTCAAGATTTTAGCTTTCAAAAATGCTAAATTCAAGATTTTGACCGATTTGAAGATTTTAGCTTTTCAAAATCCTGAATTCAAGATTTTAGCCCATTTCAAGATCTCAGCTTTCTAAAATCCTGAATTCAAGATTTTGACCGATTTTAAGATTTTCGCTTTCTCAAAATCGTGAATTCAAGATTTTGACCGATTTCAGGATTTTAGCTTTCCAAGATCCTGAATTCAAGATTCTGACCGATTTCAAGATTTTAGCTTTCTAAAATTCTGAATTCAATATTTTGGCCGATTTTAGGATCTTAGCTTTCCAAAATCATGAATTCAAAATTTTGACCGATTTCAAGATTTTGCCTTTCCAAAATCCTGAATTCAAGATTTTGGCCGATTTCAAGATCTTACCTTTCCAAAATCCTCAATTCAAGATTTTTTTCGATTTCAAGATTGCAGTTTTCCAAAATCCTGAATTGAAGATTTTGGCCGCTTTCAAGATCTCAGCTTTCCAAAATCCCGAATTCAAGATCTTCGCGTATTTCAAGATTTTAGCTTTCCAAAATCCTCAATTCAAGATTTTGACCGATTTGAAGATTCTACCTTTCCAAAATCGTGAATTCAAGATTTTGGCCGATATCCAGATCTTAGCTTTCCAAAATCCTGAATAAAAGATTTTGACCGATTTCAAGATTTTCCCTTTTTAAAATCCTGAATTGAAAATTTTTACCGATTTAAAGATTTTAGCTTTCCAAAGTCCTTAATTCAAGATTTTGACCGATTTCAAAATCTCAGCTTTCCAAAATCCCGAATTCAAGATTTTGAACGATTTCAAGATTTTCGCTTTCCAAAATCCTGAATTCCAGATTTTGGCCGATTTCAATATCTTAGCTTTCCAAAATCCTGA